TGTCCCCTGTTTAAAATGGGAGTTACATTACCCACCCCTTCCACATATCAGACACTACACCTGTTTGAAGAGATAAATTAAAATATTATTTAAATGGTTCACAGAGTTCCATTTTGCTTTCCTTAAGAACCCTTGAAAAAACCTCATCAGGACCCGTCGACTTATTTTGCTTCATTTCTGTCTATCTGCTTCACAACCATCTCACTATTGACTGTGATGTACATAATTTATCTTCTCTAGCCCACTGTAAAAATTAATTACTGGAATACTGTTGTGTTTTCCGTGTAAAAACTGAGAGAAAATAATTATTTAAAATCAAGCACATTTCATTCTTTTTGTCAGTAAGGTGCCCATGGGTTATTTTTAAGGGGACCTATCTTATCTCTAACTTTTGTTCTATAGACCTGGAAAAACTTTTTGGTTAGTTTTAGAATCCCTAGCAACTTTAATTTCATAGTCCCTTTTAGCTTTTCTTATCCCTTTTTAATGTCCCTCTTAATATCAATATACTGATTCATAAGAGACCCTCACCCTTTTGATATGCCTATAAATTCCTTTCTTATGCCCAAAGATATTTGAGCCTTAAATTTATCCATTTTGGGTCATTTCTATTTGATCTAATTTCCTTTATATGGGATAAACGCTCTTTTAGCAGCATGTATAGTGTTCAGAAAACTGTCATATTGATAGCTCTCTTCGTTACCCCCAGTCAAAAAGATGATAAGTGTTCTCTAAGCCCAAACGTAATCTGCTAAAGCGAAAATCTGGGACTGTTACTGAGTTAAACGCTACTATCGTACTTCCATTCAATGCTAAATGTAATTGATTTGTGGTCGTAGCACCCAGTTCCTCTGAAATTTCTAAATTATTAACAAGGGAATTCATTGTTTGCCATAACTAAGTCAAGCAGGGTTTTTTCCCCTTGTAGGTTCCTGTCACAAACTGCTTCAAAAAACAATCCTGAAATACTTCTAAGAAGTCGTATGATTCTAAATTCCCAGTCAAGAAATTCCAATCCCAAAATGACTAAAGTTAAAGTCTCCTAGAATTACTACCCTTATCGTGCCTTGTGGCCTTAACAATTTTTCCCCCCATAGTAGTCTCCCTTGGTCCCTATCTAAGTTTGGGGGACGGTATATCACTCCTAAAATCAGTTTTTCATGCCCCTCGGAAAATTCTATCCCAAACAAGACTCTGTATGTGTTACTTCAGACTTAATACCCTTTTAGCAACAGTTCAAGCGATCTCGGACATACAATGCCACCCACCCCCCCTCCCAATACTTCTATCTTCTTGGAACAATTTAAAACCCCGGGAAAATGACATTCCGCAGGCATGTCCCGACTTTTTGAATTAAACCACGCTCAGTTTAAAGGGAAATACATCAATGTTAACCCACACAGCAACTAATCTCAACTCGTCCACCCTTTTTCCTAGCACTACGGCAATTAGCATAATAAACATTGAAAGACTCTCCTTTCTCTTTACCCTTCCTGCTCATTTCTATTTTTCTACTAAACCTATTACTGTCCTTATCACCCAAGGTCCCTGGCTTTTCAATATCTATCTCGTTCTTATTATTACTAGTTCCCCTAGAACTCGTAATATTACTACACTGGGACTTCACTGTTTTCCTGCCAAAACCCATACCACTAACTATTCCTAGTTTAAAGTCCTAACTGCTCCCTCCACTGCAGTTGCCAGTGCTCCCACCCCACACCAAAAAGCCGCAGTAAGAATCAATTAATCCCATCCCTGGCAACACACCCCCCCACTCTTCATAGATCTAAACTTACTCCCTGTTCAGAACATCCACACTTACTACTGTGCAATCTACATCTACAGGACTTTAAATTCCAATATTAACCTTGACCTAAAACACTTTCTTGATAGTTGTGACAGGACCCACAGGCATAACACTAGACACAAACATCTCTATGACATTCCCCGTGTTCGACTATGTTCCACAGTCAGCCCTCCTGGCCCTTTATCACTCTCTTATTTACCCCTATCTCACCTATGGAATTTGTGCATGGGGCTCAACAAAAACTAACCATCTCAGACCACTAATTACCCAACAAAAGGCTGCAGTTAGAATGATAACAAATTCTCACTACAGGCAGCACACTCCACCAATATTCAAAACACTCAACCTACTCACCATACAAAACATCCATACTTTTTATTGCACTTATTACATTACATAGAACACTTAACTCGATATTAACCCTCCCCTCAAACATTTTCCTTTGCCAACCTCAACAGAACACATGACCATAATACAAGGCACAGATCACTCTTTGATGTTCCTCATGTCCATCTCCCCGCTATGCAAAAAACCAAGCACATAAAAGGCCCTAAAATCTTGGAATTCATTACCGGTAAATATAAAAGAAACACTAACCTGTTTATAATCAAGTCTCTTCTCAAAGTTCACTTACTCCCCTCAAAACCAAATAAATACTGAATAACTGAACCATATAAAATTTTATACCTAAATGTTACTCACAATTATATCACACAAAAGTTAAAACCTAACTTTGTTATTTTTTTTTAAATACACTACCTGAAGAACAGCAATGCATGCAACCACATGACCTGTCTTTGTAATACTCATTTGTATTTTATAGTTATCTGTTTACAATAATGTCTTATCACTGATTTCATCATTGCTTAGTTAATCTTAAGTTAATTTTAAGCCAGCCCGTAATGCTATGCATATAAGTGGCTTTGGCATGCTGCTCTTACCTGTATTTTTTTGTACCTCTGTATGTATGCTAAAATTTATAAATAAAAATAAAAATAAATAAATAAAACCTTTACAAAAATTCAATGTGTGTCAAAGGGCCTAAAATCTGGAACACCCCTACCTGAAAACTCTAGAACTGCAGACACATTCATCACTTTCAAAACTACAGTTAGAAAACATCTTATCTCCCTGATACACCCCGTCAACTAACTACATGTAAACCACCTGGTGGTTCACACTTACACTCACTCACCCATTGACTATAAACGCAGAAATACGAATCTTAATCTTAAAATAATGAATCCTAACTAGTCATAAGTTTGCCTATGATACTATAATATAGACACTTTGTATTGTGCCAAAACAAAAGCATTCACAGTGCTAAACTCACAAATTATGATGTAGTCACTTAGCCTTCAAACCATAATCTGTAATAATTTATATTTTAGAATTAATCTAAGTCTGCCCAAAATGCCTAGCCATGCTAGGTGTCCTGGTGGTCCCCTCTGTAATTAGTATTTTAAAATATGTAAACCACACAATATTCAAAATCTGTAAACCCCACACTGTAATCCTTATAGAGAATAAACTTGATTGAGTGATTGATTGATAGTGTGAGCAGAAGAATTTTGCTGGCTTTTGTTATTACAATAATTGAGAAAAATTAATTTAATTTGTTTACTGTCTCCAAGGCTTGGAGGGAAGGTTCACTAAGTTTAGTCAAAACTATTTCTTTAGGTATGGAAAACTTACTAGTGAGCAGTATTTAAGGTGTTTACCAGGCCTTTTTTTACTCTTTTTTAATATGATTGAATTTGTTGGCACAATATAGTTGTTTTGATTTTTCATGAGCTCTGTGAGTGTAACAGTATTTTTTTTTTCAACATGTCAGCCAATTCCTATCAAGGCAGGTTGACCCAAAAAAGAAACACTTTCACCATCATTCACACATAATCACTGTCTTAGCAGATGTGTCTAGATATGACAATTTTGATATCACTCCAAGCAGCCAATATCCCAAACCCCTCCTTTAAAGTGCAGGCATTGTATTTCCCACCTCCAGGACTCAAATCCAGCTAACTAGTTTTCCTGAATCCCTTTGCAAAATATTACTCTGCTCACACTCCAGCAGCTCATCAGGTCCCAAAAAACCATTCGTCTCCATTCACTCCTATCTAACATGCTCACACATGCCTGCTGCATGTCGAAGCCCCTTGTACACAAAACCTCTTTTACCCCCTCCCTCCATCCTTTCCTAGGATAGCCCCTACCCCTCTTCCCCTTCACTACAGATTTATACAGCCTCCAAGTCACCCTATTTTGCTCCAGCCTCTCCAAATGACCAAACCACCTCAACAACCCCTCTTCAGCCCTCTGAATAATATTTTCATTAACTCCACACCTCCTCCTAATTTCTACACTACAAATTCTCTGCATAATATTTACACAACACATTGCCCTTAGACACATCATCTCCACAGTCTCCAACCTCTTTCTTGCTGCAGCATTTACAACCCATGCTTCACACCCATATAAGAGTGTTGGTACCATTATACCCTCATACATTTCCTTCTCTGCCTCCATGGATAACGTTTTTTGTCTCCACAGATACCTCAATGCACCACTCACCTTTTTTTCCTCATCAATTCTATGGTTAACCTCTGAACACATTCACTTCTTCCATACTCCTTCCCTATGTGATATCCAATTTTTCTTTACCTAACTTGTTTGATACCCTCATCACCTTACTCTTATCTATGTTCACTTTCAATTTTCTTCCTTTACACATCCTCCCAAACTAATCCACTAACCTTTGCAACCTTTCTTTATAATCTCCCAAAAGCACAGTATCATTACCAAAAAGTAACTGTGTCAACTTCCATTTGTATTTGATTCCTCAAAATTAATCCCACCCCCCTCCCCATCATCTTAGCATTTATTTCTTTTATAACCCCATCTACAAATATGTTAAACAACCATGGTAACGTGGTTTCAATATATATTCATGTAACTTTTAGCATACTGGGAGCTTTGCCAAGCCAACAAGGCTTGACAAAGGCACCTGGTGAGCTGAATGTACCCTAATTATAATTCACTTTGACTTTAAAATAAATATTCTAACATTGCAAATGTGATAGTAACCATATTAGAGAAATTCTAGATTTTCAGGATCTCTAGAAATATAAACTCCCACAAATTTGGGGGCAGAGACTGCACTGTACTGTGTATGCATTTTTAAAAGCAAGCGTACCTTTGGCATTTTGTAAAATTCCATCGCCATTGTAACAACATTAAGGCCAATGACTGCTGCAATCGCCAAGTCGAAATATTTGCTAGTGACAATGTTGTGGATGAAGAGGCGAGCCCTGGAGTAATGACTGTAGTATGGTGGTTCACGCATCTCTGCCCAAAAAGAAATAAAGTTAATAGTCATTAAATAAATTTATTATGCAATACATAAGAAAAAACATTTTAATAATTAAAAGTAGCTTAAAATTGAAATTCAGAATATTTGAAATTGCAGTATTATATATGTAGTACTGTATAACACAAATAAAAGTATTGTACAGCATATCCAATAAAAGAAAAGTGATACAAGAATGATGAACAGTAGTTAACCCATTTGATAAAAGGTTAGATTTTGTGTGGAGGTCAAGACCCAGAGATTTGCTTATGGCAATGAAATGAACAGAAGCAGAGGCTATATCTCCTACATTATTTTATCATCATTATTGGTAGACATAGAGGAAAAAGTATTAAAGGGAAGATTGCTGTAACATGTCTGATGAAGTAAATGTGGGAGGATCCAGAGAAAACCTGCAATATTGCCAGAGAGCATGCATAGTTCCTTTGTATAAAGGCAAAGGGGACAAAAGAGCGTGTAAAAATTATAGAGGAAAAAGTTTGTTGAGTATACCTGGTAAAGCATATGGTAGAGTTATTATTGATAGAATTATGAGTAAGACGGAGAGCATGATAGCAGATGAACAAGGAGGCTTTAGGAAAGGTAGGGGTTGTGTTGACCAAGTGTTTGCAGTGAAACACATAGGTGAACAGTATTTAGATAAGGATAAAGAGGTTTTTGTGGCATTCATGGATTTGGAAATGGCATATGATAGGGTGGATAGGGATGCAATGTGGCAGATGTTGCAAATGTATGGAATAGGAGGTAGGTTATTGAAAGCGGTGAAAAGTTTCTACGAGGACAGTGAGGCTCAGGTTAGAGCATGTACAAACAAAATTTATTTCTTTGCAAGATTACATTGAAATTATGAAAATGACAGAGTGTATGATGAAAGTTTTTCTTTTTCAGGCCACCCTGGCTTGGTGGGAAACGGCCGATGAGTTAATAAAAAAAATTTAGTAATCACTGAATTGTGATATGCAGTTTTACAATTAACTAAAAGAAGAAGCAGGGAATCAGGAGAGGAACAGGAAAAGCATCATAATAAAGGCTACTGTACAAAGTTACAGTACTGAACCAAGTGCTGACATCAAAGAGGCAAACATATTTTGGTGAGGATATTGTTGATTACCCTCTAGTAAATTTGCAATGGAGAAGAGAGGTCCAGTGCAATTCAAAGACTAATATATAAAATATCAGTTTTCCTAAAGGAAGAGGCATGTGGCATTATACACTGCATGAAAATTTATCAATTTGCGTATAAAAGCACTGCAAAACCTCAAAACCTGACATACTGATTTTCCTACCTCATCCCAAAGTCCACTCCAGATACATTTTTTATGATTCCAGACATTTCACACAGGAAAAACATTGATATTTATATAATGTTTTCAGGTCAGAATTGGACTTTACTGAAAGCAAGCTTCTGCCATTTGAAGACAGCAACAAGGTCAATAAGAATCAGTTTGGTTGCAGTAGCTGACAGCACATGAATTTGCACATTTAAATAATGACTGTCAAACTCCATGTACTCTCCCAGTCTGTGAACTACTTTACTTCATACTGCATAAGCTGTTGGACTTCTGATAGGAAAAAAAGTAGAAATGACTTGGACAAAGTAGAATGACTTGGAGAGCGTATAAATCTGTAGCGGAAGGAAAGTGGGGTAGGGGTTTTCCCCGAAAAGGTTGGAGGGATGGGGTAAAGGAGGTTTTGTGGGCGAGGGGCTTGGACTTCCAGCAAGTGAGTGTGAGCATGTTAGATAGGAGTGAATGAGACGAATGGATTTTGGGACCTGATGACTGTTGGGGTGTGAGCAGGGTATATTTTGTGAAGGATTCAGAGAAAGTGTTAGCTGGACTTGAGTCCTGGAAATAGGAAGTACAATGTCTGCACTTTAAAAGGGAGGCTTTGGGAAAATTGGCCGTTTGGAGGGACTTTCTAAGCTCTCGTATCTAGTTAAAAGTGTTGAAGAAGGAGTTTTCTACTTCTTGAGGGGGAAAAAATAGGAGGCTGAAGCTTCGCATAGATGAGTTTGGGAGCTAGTGTGAGAAGGATTTAGCGGGTTTAAGGAAGGAATGGTCACCAGCAGTGATAGTTGGCAGCTACTTTAAGTGGAAAAGTGGTTCACAGTTCGGGAAGAAGGAAGATGAGGAGAGTAAAAGAGAAAATGTGAAGGTAAGAAATCGATCCTCTGTTTCTCCAAGACGAGTGTACTTCAGTGCTAGTAAGGATGAAGGAACCACTGATTCCCCTGCTAATCAAGGTAAGAAAATTTTAATAGTAGGCAATTCTCAGGTAAGATATATGGACCGGCATATTGTAACAGGGGCAGAAAGGTCAGACAGAGTTTTGCGCCTTCCTGGAGCTGGTGTTGGTGACATAGTCAGCAGGTTGGATAATATTAGGCAGGTAATGGGAACAAGCCCATTATCTGTCTTAGTGCTGGGTAATGACATTGGGAAAGCAGGAGAGAGGTGCTGCTGGATAAGTACAGGTCAGCCATAGAAGTAGTTAGGTCTAAGGGAAGGATCCAGTCATTTTAAGCATCTTGCCTAGAAAGGAAGTGGGCAATGAATGGATGTCTAGGACAATTGGTATAAATTGCTGGCTAGACAGGTACTGCAAGGAACTTGAAAACCCCATTCATTGATAACTGGGACCTATTTTTTTGGGCAAATGTGATATGTATGCAAGGGATGGGGTTCATCTCTCTGCGGATGGAGGGGTTTGCTTTAGCCAATTCAATTGAGGAGGGTAATTAAATGACTTGTCTAGGAATTTAAACTGACAGATTATAAGGTAGGGTGTTTGTGGGAAACAATCAGGCTGCAGCATTAGGGTTAAAAACAGCAGTTATTACGGGATACCTCAGGATATTTTAAAAGACAATATTCAAAATAAAGTTGCTAGCAATGGCAAATCAACTGATCAACAAACAAAGAGAGATAGTAGGGGGCAACGAGTGACTATTTCCCTTAAGTTTACTAAACAAATAGTAGGGGTCTAAAAAAATAAGATAGATGACTAAGATTACTTGCAAGTGTAAGGTAATATAGATATTATTGGTATAACAGAGACCTGGTTCAACCTGAAAGATAGAGAAATGCCTTCTGAATGCAACATACAGGTTATAAACTATTCCACACTGATAGGGTGGTGAGTGGCGATGTATGTCAAGAAAATTTAAACTGTTGTCTTAGACATGATATATGATTAGAAACATCGAATGCTGAATCTGTTTGGCTACAGTTTCTCGATGACGTGACAAATTAATTTTGGGTTTTGATTTATAGGCCCCCAAACCTTGATAGGGAGTGCAGTAAGCTTTTTAGGGACGAAATTCATAAGGGATCTAGATATGAAAAGCTGTAAATGGAGATTTAACTTTAGACAAATTGATTTGGGAAAAATATGACAGGAAATCTTGAGTCTAGTGACTTTCTTGATACGGTTCTGGGTTGCATTTTAGAACAGGTTGTGACAGAACCAAATAGAGGAAACAGTCTGCTTGACTTGGTTCTTGCCAACAAAGATTCACTAATTAATAAACTTGAGTAAATGATGAGCTTGGGGAAAGTGATCACAATCACTTAGTTTCAATATATCATGGAATTACCCAAAATAACTGCAATCAAATCTCTGTCCAAGATTTTCGCTTGGCCGACTTCATGGGGCTGAAAAATTACCTGGGTGGGCTAAATTGGGATGTCCTGACTATGGTTAGGTAGGTGATCTTGGTTGCCAATATGACATTTTTCAGAGCATAGTTCTAGCTGCCCAGACAACTTTGTTCCGAGTAGGGAAATTAGATCTAACAAAAATGATCCCCGAATGGATGACCAATAGATTAAAAACATCTCACTGGTCAAAAGGAGGCATATAAAAGGCATATCAAAAGAGGGGATCGGGAGTTAAGAAATCAATATATTCAATTAGAGAGGGAAATAAAAGAAAGGAATAAGGAAAGCAAAAAGGGATTATGAGGCTAAGGTTGCAAGGCTTTTAAAGACAACCCAAAAGGTTTTTTTCAGGGATACAGAAGTAAGATTAGGGACAAGATTGGCCCACTTAAGAGTAACTCGGTCAGATCACTGACAGTGATAAAGGATATGTTGAAATTCTCAATACCTTCTTCCTCTCAGTTTTTCACCCAGGAAAATACTAGCGTATTCCTGAAATAATAGATTATATAGAACAGGACAATAAACTATGTACAATTGCGGTAACTGGAGACATGGTCCCCCAGACAAATAGAGAAACTAAAACCTAACAAATCCCCAGGCCCTGATGAACTGTTTGCAAGGGTGTTAAAGGAATGTAAAGAGGGAAAATTAGCATACCTTGGCTAATCTTTTAACATATCACTACAAACTGGCATTGTGCCTGATAAGGGAAAATAGCAAATGTAATACCTATTTACTAGGCAGGTGACAGGGCTTTGACTTCGAACTATAGACCAATAAGCCTTACCTCCATAGTGGGAAAATTTTATGGAATCAATAATTGCCGAATCAATTCGTAGCCATCTTGATAGTACAGATTGATTAATGAATCTCAACATGGTTTTACAAAGGGGCGTTCCTGTCTTACGAATTTACTAAATTTTTTCAAATAAGGTGTTTGAGGAGGTAGATCATGGTAATGAATATGATAATTTTGTATATTGACTTCTGTAAGCCTTCGATCGAGTTCCACTCCAGAGGCTATTTAGGAAACTTAAGGCACACAGAATGAGGAAAAAATTTTTTCCCGGGTAGAGGCAAGGCTGACAAATAGACAGCAGAAAGTTGCATAAATGGGGAGAAATCAGAATGGGGGCACGTCACAAGCGGTGTTCCTTAGGGTCAGTGTTGGGCCCACTGTTGTTCACAATTACATAAACGACATAGATGAGGGAATAAATAGCAACCTAAGCAAATTTGCTGATGACACCAAAATAGGCCGTCAAATTCATTCTAATGAGGACAGTAGAAACACTCCAGAATGATTTGAATAG